TTATTATTTTATTATTTTCATTTATTATTTGCTTGCTTCTAGAATGGAAAAAGAAGACATTGCACATCCTATCTTATGTTTTTTAATTAGTAGAGTGTCTGAAGATATTTTTGGTGCCAGTTTAGGAAATACTGACAGAACAGTTGGGGAAAGTGCATGACCAGATTTTCAAAAAAAGCTCAAATTTTGACACTTTTTGGCACTTTTTGTGGATGCCAGCTGTAAATGGCTTCACAAATTTGATATTAGTTACCTGGATTTAACTAAGCAATCAGTTTTTAACATGTTGGTACAAAAAAAAAACAGATCTGAAGCAAAAGATCTGGCAATTATGGCCAGATATTATAGTCGAAGCCATGATTTTTAGCATTAATCTTGAATTCTGACTTTGTGTCCGGGAGTTATTTTGTAAGAAATTGGGTTTTTATACCTGGGAGGGATGTAGTTTAATGGGGTACCAATAAAATTGCAGGTACTTTTTATGCAGATTAACATGGTCTATCTCTTGGAYTAATATGAGAACATCAAGAATTCATTTCTGCTCTTTGCTTGTTATAAATCTGCCCTGTTTTAAACAAGCCTAAAAACTCAAACTCTTGTCCCTAAAAGGTGACGTTGTGACCGGAGTGAGGACCAGCAGGTTCCCTCAGCTGCAGGAACTGTTTATGTTAGTGTAGAAGTGTGTGCTGACTGCAGCGGGTTATTCTCACAAACCCACTTCACACTGTCGTTTGGTCTAAACTGTCATCTTACAGACGGGTTCCAGCTGGCTTACAGGAAATGGTTCTGCTTTAAAAAAAAGGGGAGAAAAAGGTAAAAAGTGTCGCTCATTACTTCACATAGTCTGGGATGTTTTTCCAACAAGTCAAACACGTTTTGTTGCCATGAAGATAAAATTGTGCCTCCAAGACCATCATCACCAATCCAAACCAGGAAATGTTTAAAAGCCTAGCATGTCTTGAAGGAATACATCTCACCTGCCAMAACTCATGGAAAAAGTTTACAAACAGAACACGTCATGATAAAGTGACAAAGCTCTGTTTTAGTCAAACTTTATAAATAATCTTCTGCATGAGCTCTTTTTACATCTGTGAGCTCTGATCACATGTTCAGAACCTCACTGAGCTGCTGCCAGATCCAAACTGATGCATTTAATCAGCGCTTCAGGTGCAAGTAGTACCCAGGTGAAAAAATGTTACACTAAGTATACTAAATCCAAGTATACTTTAGAATACTTGAAGCCACACTAATCATCAGTATATTTAAAGAGTGCTGTTTTGGAACAACTAATTTAATACTAAATATACTTTAGTTGTATTTAAGTTGCACAAAAGAAATACACTTAAAACTGTGTTTTTGTACAACTTAAATACAACTAAAGTATATTTAGTATTAAATTAGTTGTTCCAAAATATCACTCTTTAAGTATACTGACGATTAGTGTGGCTTCAAGTATACTAAAGTATCCTTAGTATAATATTTTTTCACCTAGGTTTAGAATGCCTCAAAACACTACATAAAAATGAAAAACAGCAAAACGCTGGCTAAAAGTATCAAAAACAGCTGCAAGCTAACAAAACAAAACATATTAAAACATAACATACTAAGTATACAGTACTTAGTATAATATTTTTTCACCTGGGTAGATATGAGT